GACCTAGACAGCTGTTTTCTAAATCAGTTTTTGACGCTGATTCAGAAAAATATAGTTAGAATTTTCTAGCGTGCAATACAACTTTAAAAGAATCACTTCCAGGATGGAGGTCGGTTTTTGAGGCTTTTAAGGTCTTCGCAGTTTTTCGCATTTTTTTCCATGAAGAAAGAGCTTTTAACCTCTTGGATGCCGCTATTTTTCCTCTTCCGCGTCCAAAGGCATGCATATGTAAAAAAACGATTAAATATCTCTCCTTGCTTGCTGTTGTTTTCGTCACATGTGTTCCACTGGCAGTTTTTTTTCGTTAAAACGATAGAACGAAAAAGCATTTGCAACATATAAAATTTCCTTCATGTCATCTGTAGATGCCTTACGGCATTCAAAAGGTTAAAAGCTGCGAAGGTGAAGTTTGAGATCAGCTCAATGCGGCAAATCAGAATATGTATAATAAAGTCAGAAAAGCTTTTTACTGCAATTTTGAATTAGCTGCACCTTACCCCTATTTCGAATTCGTTTAACTTTCCTCTACAAAATGGCTGTGCTTCTCGCCAAGTTTGTCAAATAGATAGTAATTCTTCTTCTTCTTCGCCAGTCATTTTAGCTCCTATGTTTTATACTTTGTCGATTTTGAATCCTCTTGCGCCTACTTTTGTACCTATCAAATCTAAGTTTTTGACAATTTCTTATAATATTCAGAGCCTTACTAAGAACTTTGCCGTACTTGAACAGTTCATAAATTACCATAAACCTGTCGCTGTTTGTTCTGTGGTATCTGAAAAATTTATCATAAAAATGCATTTATTATATATCATTACTTTTATCGGGAATGGTGTGTAGCCTATCCAACTGCCTCAGAATTTAATTGTGATGTACTATCCATTTGAAAAAATGCCTGTTTTTAAAAAAGAAAAGTTTTCTCCCTATAACAGAAACGCACACCGAACCACGTTGATGGCCCATGGAATCACTTCTCATAGTTCTGGAACCTCGAAATACACTTCTTTCTATGCAGTTTTTCACGCTGATTTCGAAAACACTTTTGAAAGGTCCCAGAACCTCGTGGAACCGAGATATAGTCAGGTTTTTGAAAATTGGTGATTTTTCAAAAAAACGGACCCTTCCAATTTTAGTTATCCAATTTTAGTTATTGGAACTATAAGTTTACGGAATAAAACTAATATTTTTCATCACTTTAAGCAAACCTGTGGTCTTTATATCCTTTATAATGTAAAGAGATTTAAAATTTTGTGTCGTTTGGAAAAAGGTTTTTAATCTAATGGATTTGATCAGGTTTAAACTACCAAAAGAAGTGCGCAAAATCTGTCGACATCAGTCATAGGTTAACAAATAAGATCTTTTTCAACATTGTTTAAAAGTGTTCACGGTAAAGTACCTGTGTTACGACGTACGTGACACATTTTTCCGAAGATCAAACACAAAGAAATAGGATTTGTTTCAAACCGAAACAGAATACAGTCATAAATCGGCGATCCAAGGTCTTATTTTTTGTTTTTCGCTATGCTGTTTATTGATACGCTCGTAAGCGCTGGCAAAAGTAATGAAAAAAGTAAAAATACAAAAAGTTTTGTTTACAATGTAGGTCATTCTCTCCTTCTACATAGCTCAGCCCAAGGCTAGTTTGCAATAACATAAAAAATTAACATACAAAAAACCAGAAAGAAAAAAGGAAAGAAAAATCTAGAACCGATTTAACTAAGCGGACTAGTATTTCAACTCACAGTTATAGTTGTCTAGAAATGAAAGCCATTCGAGAAGACAACATTCATGATTCTTGATCATCTTTTTTACACGGTTTAGTCTGAAAAAGTGACCTAACCCAAGTTTCTTCCTATCGATTGCAAGGAAATCCCAATAAAAAACGTCATTAAAAAAAAAGGATTGGCCTAAGTCAAATATGTGGCTTCGCACAAGCATTTTTCCTAAATAGGATTTAATATAAAAATTCAGATCGTTTTCGTTAATAAAAGAGAAAAGATCGTGCGCCAATACGAAATGGCATCTATAGACTATACGGATTCCTACTCGAAATTTGCGGTAGAATAGATCCTGTTTTGATTTTGGTAGCAAGGGAAAAAAGCAGAAGATCCACGTGAAGAAGGGAAAAGCGTAGACGAAGAAGCAAAGTCGAAGAACTTTGGTTGAGGTATTTTTATTTCGCTTCAGCCATTTTAATTTTGAGTAAGACGTTTGAATGTTTTCTGAACAGCTATCGATCGTAGGTTTTAGCAAAAGCTTGTCCGTCCACGTAAAACCTAAGTATTTAAAGACAGATACTACTATTAATTTAACATTGTTCATATAGATTTCGATCTCAGGTTTAATTACTTGAGAATGGAAAAGTTGTACGGCTGTTTCTGATATATTTATTGGTTGCTTCCACTTTATTGAGTAATTAAAGAGATTATTATACACTTTCGTACCTTCCTCATTTAAAAAATTATAGCATTTTAACAAACTACTTGAAACTGGAGGGACAATAATTGTCCTTAGATCGTCAGCGAACAGATGAGCAGAAAAAGCTCCTACACATTTCACTAAATCAGCATGGAAGATAATAAAAATAAAAGGGCTTAGTGCACTACCTTGAGGGAGTCCTATGTGTACTTTAAAAATACCCGATTTAAACTTTCCGAATATAACGAAGACTTTCCGGTCACTTAACCAACTTACAATCAATTTTAAAAGCTCAAGAGGCATCCTTAGTCTACAGAGTTTAACAATTAATCCCATGTGCCAAACCATGTCGTATGCTTTTTTATAATCTACATAGACAGCTAAAACAGGGATGTTTGCCGCAAGGTTATTTTTTACCTCTTGATAGATTGACAGAACACGTGTTTGAAGTAGTCCATTTTCCCTAAATCCGGATTGTTCCGGAGACACAATACTATTTGAGTTCGCTCAGCCGTTTACTCTTTTAAGAATAATTTTTTGGTACAGTTTTGAGTGTGTGGGTAATAGGGATATTGGTCGAGTGTGTTCGCAGGGGGGAATATCTGATTTTAGTTTATTCAAGATAACCATTTTTGCAAGTTGCCACTCGTGAGAAAATATACTTTTAGACAGCCATTCGTCGAAACAAAAACATAAACAGTCGATAAACGCCGGTGTAAGTTTTTTTATCATAAAATTTGATATATTGTCAAAACCTGCTGAGTTTTTTGGTTTTAAGACTCTTATTAAGTTATTAATCTCATAAGCTGAAGTTAGAGCTACAGTATTTGAGCATGAAGCTAGTTTTATCATAATTTCCTCGTACTCAATTTTGCACTGTGTATCATCTGGGTTGTTAGGATCACAGAAAGGTGCTGAGAATTGTTCTGAATAATATTTAAACAAATTTCCCGTTATCACTTGCTGATCAGAAATAGTGGTGTCGCCTACACGTAATTTGGAAAAGGGGGGAGATTTCGGTCGATAAATGCGAGACAAGTTTGACCAGAAAGCAGTGTCTGATTTTCCATGAGATCCTCCGATGTTTGATAGAAATTTATTCCATCTGTCAGATTTATATTTCCATATCTCTTTTTTTATTTCTTTTGACATTATTCGTAGTCTGCTTCTATCTTCCTTGTATCTATTGTGGTAATATTTATTACGAACAGTTCTCACCACTTTTAGTTTTTTCAAAACAGCCTGTGGGAGGGATGGTTTTCACTTATCATTATCGAGCCACACAGTCACTCTGTATTTTAATGCTGATAAAAAATTGGTATACAATTTATACCAGTCTACTGCGGATACCTTCTTCTGTAGATCTACCCAGCAGTCCTGAAGGAGCGATAATAAAATTTCAAAGAAATTCCATTTCGTATGTGAAAAACTATCTACAGTTGTAAAGGTAATAAATTCTGACCTATAAACAATTGGCCAGTGGTCACTGGTTCCAAAAACGTGAGTCTCCCCGTTTATTCCGGGAAAATTTGTGAATGTGAAGTCAATATTTCTGTCTGATTGTCTGGAAGAATTGAACGTTCCCGGAATAAACAAGAGGTTATTTTGATCTCGCCACTTTTTAATATTTTTTCCTTTTTGGCGCTACCCCACTCCTTTACCGCCGCATTAAAATCGCCTGAAATAATTGTGTTTTAAATGATAAACGGATTTAACTCATCTAGATTTCTCTTCTGGCTTTTCGGCCAGTACACGCCGATAATTCTTAATGGTTCACTTATCCCTGAAATGTTGATAACCACTGTATTTTATAACTTCGTTTCGACTTTCGATGCTTTTAAATGTTTCCCTACCGCGATCGACACCCCACCACGTCGATTCAAACCTTCCTCATGAAACATACTAAAGTCTGGTATTTTAAAAGAATTTCAAAGTTCTCCAACTTTAGTACAAACTATGAAGGATGCTTCGACATTATGGATTAAGTCTAGCACTTCCAGAGCTCTGCTGCCCAATCCTTGGACGTTGAAAAGGCAAAAGGAAAGAGAGTAAATTTCTTATTAGAGAAAACCCTCTTTTTTTCTCCAAAACATTCCCATTCGAATAAAATCCAATCTAGAGATCTCGAGCTATACCACCCTGCAAGTATTACAACAATATTATTTACCACACTGTCAGATAAACCACAAAATTTCAGTCTATCCGAGGCTACTTCTATAAGGTTACATTGATTTAAAGGTACAAAGATAGACGCTAATGGGTTAAGCATTTATGTAAAAGACAACTATGCGAGAGAGACGGTTCCTTGCCTGACTTCTTCATTCGTTCCTAGCAATTTGTTCGATGTTGTTATTATTGTTTTAATAAACCGACCGGGTGGATCCATTGCTTTGTAATCTAGTCTTAATTTTTCTTCACTCTGTAAACAGAGAAGAGTGAATTCATTTAAATCATTTTTTATTTTTTTATCCACATTTGGTATTAATGATATAATGGGTTTCATTACATTTACTGCCAAATTTTTAAATGCTTTAAACATTTCACTCATTTTAATTTTGTTCGATCGACTATTATGGTCCACTATTTCAACTTGTTGACGAAATCTGCTGAATTTCACCCATTTGTTTCTCAAATTTTAACTCAAAAATATCTTTCAATTGGGTGAACAGTTGAGAATTTGATAGGTCATCATTTGGATGAGACCCTTCTTGCTGTAAGCTATTACGATTGTTTTTTGTAAGGTTTAAAACAGGAAAATCGTCTTTATTGAGAATGAAACCCGGTTGTTTTTGTTGCATTTGTTGTTGTAGTTCAGGGCGCTTTAGAACACCATCGTATAACGCCTTTTTAACAGCATTATTTAAATCGCTACGGTACTGTTGTATCACAGCACAGACTGGGTTCAACGATTGATGATTCAGACCACATTGAGCGTATGATGGTTGCTTATTATATACTTCATTGTGATTGGGATTGAGTTCTTGTAAACAGATTTTACATCTAAATATTGATTGATCACATTGATCTTTTGTATGTCCTATTTTCCAACGTTTTGTACAATACGTTAATTTATTGGCCGGAAGATACTGTGTAATTGGGCGAATTAAATTACCTATACCAATTCGCTCTAATGCTAACAAACCTTTGTGCTCGTTCAGATCACTGACCGTGAAACGGTAATCATGTGTAGATCTTTCATACGAATAGACAATACGTCTAAAATTTGCAGCTGATTTTGCCGATAGTTTTACTTCGTCTTCTACTTGCTTTATACTGAATGTTTGAGGAACGTACCTTACAACTAAGGTGAATTGTTCCGGTACGAAGTTTGGTGTTGAAACCTTAATGTCTATTCCATTTATTGTTGTCGGCCAAACCTTCTCTGCTAATAATGCAAAGTAATCTTCTTTATTTCCAACTCTAATTTTAAACTGTTGTCCAGCATATCGTGCCAAGATGAACTTGCCTATTAGTTTGACATTTTGCTTCTTAAAATAGTCGTACAGTTGTTCAGTGATATAAACCACGGACAGTTTTCTGATTTTGTCTGTAAAGTTGATTGTGAAACACGGTAGATTATGTGCCACTGGGCGCCTCATTTGTTCGAACCGCACTTTATATTGCCTTTGTGGAAGTGGTGGAGGTGATGATGCTTGGCGATCAAAACGGTTCACGGTTTGATTATTCTGCCGTTTTATACCTCCAATATAACCATCGCTAACTTCTAATCGATTTCGTTTCGGTGTTGACGTTTTGTTTTGCACGTTCCAATTTTTCAATAGATTATTATTGATTGTCGTCGAGTTCTGTAGTCGGGTATGTTGCTGTAGCGAGTTGTGCTGAAATGTAGAGGCGTCTTGTAATTGATTTTGCTCTTGTTCACTAGGTGAACGTCTTAAGGGTTGTGGGAACGAAATTATTTGTGCATTTTGGTTATTCTCAAACACCGGTTGAATTTGTATCTGGTAATTTTGCCCGTAGTAACTTGTGTACCCATTTGCTTGATACTGTTGCTGAAAAACTGGTGGGCCATATCGAGAATACAGAGCATTTATATCCAAAACTTCCTGACCATTTCTATCAACTGTCATATACTCGTTTACATTTCTGATTGAAACTAATTGTTGAAAGTTCTTATTTCCATCACTTTCATAACTTTTATTCCATAATCTAACTGTTTACTAAGATTTTTATTACTATTACCGTTTGACCCTATTGTTTTATCAATCGTAAAATCATGGAATAAAAAAGAAACGAGCTATAATAAAAACTGAGCTAAGCGTTTGGTCTCATTTTGCACTAAACACAGAAACTATAACTGCTGTCGAATGTTGTAACGAGAAAACGATCAGTTCGAATTTGTAGAAAAAATCTATCTTGGACTCAGAGGAGATTTTAAATCCATGGAATAATGAAAGATGAAATTAATTTCGAGTATTCGGTAAATAGCATTGTTGCCCTCGATTATCAGCTTAATACCGAAATAGGAATACAGTCATAAATCGGCGATCCAAGGTCTTATTTAAAATACAAGAATACCGGCTTGTGTATTATTTACTGTATGGTCATCTTCTCATGAGTTTTTGCCATCTCGGTCGTGAAATCCCTTCTTCTTTAACTGATTTAACAACATTGCTCTGCTTTTATGGCAAAATTAGTCAGTAATTGATTCAGTAGTCAATCTAACGTAGGATGCTGTCGTTCGGCTGGTAAAACGTAAAATTCGTACTAGATCATACCATTTTCATATTTAGACAATGTTATGTCATAAAGACATAACGATGATTGACGTTAAATGTAAAAATTGTGAGCTTGGCAGTGCAAATGGATTTAGCAACGCTTTTAGAGGAAAAAATTGATTACGAAATAGATTGTTTAAGTTCGGAGTTGAGACTTGACTCGCGTTCTTCTGGCCACATTTCCATCGTTTGTCAAAGGATTATTATCTTTGGATAAAACTGAAACTGCGAGTCGTTTTCTCTACAATATCAAACAGTTCATTACTAGTTTCGGAGTTGTTTTCTATTGGCCTTCCGCATATCGATTCAAAAACTTATAGAAGCGCTTAATTATTGAGCAGTCCATTGATGGATGTATCAACAAAAGAGTGCCCAATAGTAGTAAGGGGACATGGTTGAGTTGGCAAATGACTCGATTCACGATATGATTCGACACATCATTCGGAGATACGTGATTTTCTGCAACCAAGCATTGGATGATACCACGTAGTATCATCTGTCATACTCTACAAATCCAGAGTTGACTAAACCACCGCCTCGTCAAGCGACAAACCGAAATAGACTGTTGAGGAAAAAAGAATCGAGTATTTTTCTTTTAAGAAGTCCCACTATTCTCTTTTCAACTTTAGACAAGAGGAGTCATATTTGTTGATAGATGTTGAGTATAGATGAGACAAATTGGCTCGAGTCACTGAGTAACGAGTTACTGCTCTATATTAAGGAGGATATGGACGCCCACACACTCTATGGGCTTAATCATCGTTTTGATGTTTTTCTTCCATCGTGCCATCAACACGTCCTCTTCGTTAATTCAAAACAACACACAGAATTTTGGATTACACTGATATTCTGCATCAGTTCCTCGAAAATTTTTTTTCTGTCATTTTATGACAAGGTTGCCATTGATGATCAAGTTTTAGTTTTCTACGTCTAAAAATTTCGTTCGCTCTCCTTTCATGAAATACATCGATCTGTCTGTTTCCACCGCCTTTGCACCAGCATGGGCGAACGCGAAAGCTACAGCTTTTACGATGCCTTGTGCACCACCTGTTATTAATATGATTTTCCCTCAAGCAGTACCTATAAGTGTTGCGCGAGAATCAATTGCTTGATAAACATCATGATGAATAGTAGGAACGGGATCTTCAACAGATCGCATTTTCCCAAAGGATGATAATAATGATGTAATATCTCCTGAATACGATAGAGCAAGTAACGTGAAACGTGATTATCATACGTGAAATAGGCATATTACAAGAAAACCAAATAATCTTTATACAACATGTGGTAAGAGCAGGAAAAAACGCATAATAAAATAGTAATGAGCGTTACTTGACCTCCGAGCACAAAAAAAGCGAATAGAACCAAAAAATGACGAATCATGCAGTTAATTTTGTTCTCTTAAAAAGATTTGTTAAAGCTTTCTTTAGGCTTCCGCAGTATTTTACTACATATATAAACTTATAATTATTATGATCATGAAACTTACTTGACTCTAAAAAACATTCAGCCGTTTGTCAATAGTATTTTGCGGGATGATTTGATCGAAATTTCTCTTCAAACTTGAGTGATTAATCTGTTTTTTTCAAAGAAAAAATAGTCAGTGTACACTGTTCTTCGTCGAATACGTGTATTGTCTTTTCGACACGTACTTAAAAAGCTCCAACAATAAGAAACTTTTTCGGTCTTGGTGGATTTTTTAAATTTTATATGTAAAAAGTTATATGAATATTACACGTAACGTTCATCATTCTGATTCACTTGTCCCTTGACCGGAAAGGAATCGCTAATACCAAATTGTTTCTAGTGAATAATATAATTATCTTTCTTATTCACATTGCTTTCTAAAGAACATTCTAAACAAGCAGCAGCAAGCAAGCACTACCACAATTCCAACGACCATCGTTCTTCTTGCAAGACAAGAAATAATGAGATATATTCACAACAGTTAACTTCGTATTTCTAATCACTCTCGTATTATGTGTTGACCTGTGTCTTTGTCCGTGCAATAGAACTGCTGTCTACGCCCTAACACACAAGGGTTACGTCCCGGATGCCAGGACTAAAATGTGTCCATATGTGTTTTTCGTTTGTCTGAGCCTAAGTTTAGGAAACTATAGGAAACTCCAGGAAACTAAGAGACACTATGGGACACTGCAAGGAAACCGAAGAAAAGTGCAATGAAAGCCCGCCCATTGGCTACGCCACTAGTCTTTGACGGCCTGTCTAACCAGAAGGAATGGGACACTTTCTATTAATTGAACCGCATTGTTTAGATTTTCTTCGACTATTTATGCATTTTTCATATATACTTTATAATTTTTTTGAATAAAGTAGAAGGAAAGCTCAAGAATTGCAATAAAATAAGTCATAAACAACAAAACGAACATTTTTTACTGCGAAGTTGAAAGTGTGAAGTACTTTAACGTAAAGCAAATATTTACCAAAAAGACCACCTGTTATTTTTTTTTCTAGATAAATAATGATAATAAAAGAAAGGATCGATAACAAATAGTTAGATATAAAATAGTATTACCACTAAAAAGGAAGGTTCGAGGAAGTTTTATAATTAAATCCATGAAGCTTTCAATTTTACTATTGATTGGATGTCTGTTATTTATTGTTGTACAATCGACACAATCGGTCAATAAAGGCTTAATTATGCATGAAGGTAAAATGATTCTGTTTAACACCATACATTGGACCAAAAAACATTTATGCATAAAATTTTGTTGCTATAGGAACGTGTCCTAGACCACCACTTGGGTTAATGTGCCGTCGTATGGTCTGTATGCCTCAAATGATAGAAAGAACTTGTTCAAATGATGGTATATGCAAAGAAAATGAGAAATGTTGTCATGTACCATGTTCGTGTAAAATAAAATGCGTTGCAGTATGAAAAGTGTAGACTAAGACGACTTAATTTGCATAATCATTTTTAAATATTGTTATTGGTCTACTTTTATCATTTTTGGTGGACATTTATGACTATCTATATACTAATTTCTTATGTCTCACAGTGGGCAACCAGTTGGATATAAAACGAAAGTGTTATTTTTCAATGTTTAAACATTGGAAAAATTACTTGTCTTTGATCTGTCTTGACTTGAAATAAGCATTTTCAGAAATTAGGTTGAAGGCCGGAAAAACACATACTAAGAAATTTGTTCAAAAATCGCTATCCTCAGACCAACTTACTGGAATGGTTTAATCTGAAAAACTATCTGAAAAGAATTATTCATCTATGAGCTCCATTTTAATGAAAAGACCATTTCGATTGAACTCAAATTGCTACAGACAAAAAAATCTGGTAGGCTAAAACTGAGTATCAGAAATGCATCCTTTTGTATTTTGTAAACGCTACAAACAGCTAAAGTCCAATCGAGCTCAACCTTTTGCCAAATATTTCTCTATATGTGCTCTATCATTGACCACAGCGCCAATTAGCACCAGTAATTCTACATTGTGTCTTGGGATTTTGTAACGTTTCTTTCGAGATTTCCTATAAACAGGATACAGCATAGCTTAAATACTCGATCTTCTGAAATTACGAACTCATTCTGTTAATTACTGAGTGATTGGTGAATTTTTTAATATCAGGTAAAAAGGGTCTGAAAACTTTAATTTTCGTAAAACTCGCTTTTCGGTAGAATTTTAAAATTTTTCTAGAAACAAATATTGTACCGAGACTCAGCGTGGTCGATTACGCATGATTCATCCATCTTGAAGGCTACCAAATGTAAACATTCTTTGAAGGCTAAATTTTGTAAACAATCTCGTTGTGATACTAGAAATCACCGCTATCGATTACAGATAATACTTATTTTTAATCGCGAAAAACCTAATGAAAAATCCCGATTTTCTGGAGAACCGAGTCCAAGCGAAAAACTTTCGAGCAGATTTCTTCGTGTCGGTTTCTTCGTGACGGTTTGTCACGCTTTTATGGTCGAGAGCACTACAATCAACGTGAATATTCTAGAAATGAATTTTCTATGGGAGCCTGAATACGAAATTATCTTCATTAGGTATCTAACTTATCATTTTCAGTAAATTATTCTACGATGCCGCATTATTCACAATCCAACAAATGCTACTTTGGTACTTCTGAGTTCAAAATGGTCAATAAAATACATTAATTAAAAACTTGAAACACTTAAAAGGCAAGCTGTGCAGTTTTTTATGGGACCTGCGAGTAAATAATAAAAACTGAGCTAAGCGTTTGGTCTCATTTTGCACTAAACACAGAAACTATAACTGCTGTCGAATGTTGTAACGAGAAAACGATCAGTTCGAATTTGTAGAAAAAATCTATCTTGGACTCAGAGGAGATTTTAAATCCATGGAATAATGAA